GTGCAGCTGGATGCAGTTTTTTGTTTTATGAGTTGTTTCGAAGATCTGTTGTTACTCTATACTGAATTCGAAGTCGAAATCGAACTCCCACGGATATGGCCATTATAAAATGTTGTCGAAGAATTCGCTAAGTCTTTAGAAGTCAGTCTGAGAATTTATAGAAAGAAAACGAAGATACCATGCTATATTTTTAAGGTGCTGTCAGTGTAAAGTACTGTGAGAGGCTTCCATCAGAGTTGGGCTCATCAGGTTATTTGTTGTTTCATCTTATATTGTTGCATATGAATTCGAAATTTTGTGAATTTCAATTGTTATAGAAGTGATTTAGTTTTTCCGATTTTTAGTTGATTTCTGCATTAGATGATTTTTTTACAAATTGTTAGTTTTTATGGTGCGTAGTCGGTCGTAATTTAATTACTTTGTTATTATTATTGTAGGTGGATTTTGTAACAGTGATATGTTAATGATATCCAATTATTCTCAGTTCATTTCAATCTGAATTTGTTCTTTATACAGAATAAAGTTCTCAAAAATTTCCTTTCATTTCTTTTTTTGCACTTTATAATTAATATATTATTAGTGAGGTAATCATCAGTAAGTCTAGAGGGAGAGCAAAAAACTAGGTATAGATCTGCTAAAAGATCGGAAGTATTTGCACAGGAAGATCACTATCACTGAATGCTTGCTTATCCAGCATTTTGTTTCTATTCATCTCAATACGTGTTTACACTTCGATCAATGAATGCAGCAAAGTAAGTTGTGACGAATTTTTGCGACTTCATCGCGATACGATCCTGAAAATTGTGTAAAAAGCCTAGCGCGTTGGAGAAATCCGGTTTTATAAAAAAATGTCTAGTTTGACCACTGTCAAGTCTTAACTTTCAATGGACACTGAATGTTTTGAATTTGAACAGTCGTTTAAGCTTATTGTTGCTTTGGTTATTGCAATAAATTTGTTAAAACTGGTAAATGAGGATGTGAGAGAGATTTGTTCACCGTATTCATGCATTAGACTAGTCTTCTTAATTCCGTCGAGTACTTTTTTCATCAGTTAGTTAGCTGGAAAAAAAATTCAAAGAACTTTATTCAGTCTACTGATTCAGTAAGACAATGCTTAATTTTATTTGCTACACAATATTTCTGTGGTTCATTCTCTAGATTTTGTCTTAATGAATTATTATTCATTAAAGCTTATCATTTTACGATTAAAAATTTTAGTAGTATTATGGTGGATGACATTTTAAATTTTGAAAGAGAGAAAAGGTTGGTACAACTTTGATTAGTTTTAGCTGACTTGCTGTTTGTGCCTCTTTTTGTTACGACATTTTGAATTCTTGGCATGAAAGGAATAAAATGCTTGTACGAAATGAATAAGTATGCTGAGTAAAGCAGTGTTAATCTTTACTGATATTAAATTAAACTCAAGATCTTATCGAAACAGTCGAATATTTTAAATGAATAGTATATAAACATTCACAGAGAAAATTGGTGCTGACAACTTTTTAGGTAAACAAATAATGATCATTTTGATTGTGTGGAACTATCTGTTCCTAAAATTATGTATATGTATTAGTTTCAGAGTGATGTATATTCTGTAATTTTATATAATTCTTTCTGAGTGTAATTTTTTCGATATATATTGTTGAAATGAATTTTTTGTATGAAGCAGTAAAAAGATTTTCGCACTTCTTTCTAGAAATAATCTGTTAATATTCTATTTATAGAATATTATTTCATATTTTAAATGCGATTTATGACATATTTATTGAATGAAGGATATTCTGCAGATGAAGGTGTATTATCTAATATATCAAAACTAGCCTTATATTAATAATTAAAACTTTTAATTAACTGTCAAGAATTTTAATTAGTGTAGCGCTTTGCTGAAAAATTGACGGGAAATGACGGAGCTGTGATTTGTTTGACGAAATGCATTTGCAAGTTCTACGCTACTGAAATATATTTCAAATGTTCAAAATTTATAGATACCAATGGTTCAGATTAAACGAGAGATTCAGAACATTAATTTAAGCTGTTGGTGATCAACATGCATCTGACTTAAAAATTACTACTGTATAGAAAAAGGTGCAGTGTTCGTTTCTAAGGATAGCCAGAAAACATTATGGATTCAGTTAATAAACATCTCAATGAATTAAAAAAATAGATTAAATATGATAAACCAGTTGATGGTGCAGTTTAAAAGTGAGAATTTACAAATACCTGCATTTTATAAGTTGGGTAGATTTTTTTGCTGGCTAGAGTAATATATAAATTGACGGAGAGAAAATGCGCCTACAGAACATTTTCTACGTAAATTAATTTTATCGACAGAATATGAATTGACTTAATGTAGTTTCTACAGAAGTGAAGTTCTCGTTGAATGGATTTACTTGTAAAAAATTACGCATAGAGGAAGCTAATTTGTAATACATTCCTTTTTTTCTTACGCATAATTCAGCTATCCTTTACTCCTTTCGTCATTTTATTAACGGCACACATACACATACCTAAACAAATTGCTTTGTAATTTCTCACCTCAATTTCCGCTTTTTTTAATACAACCTAATAGCACTGTCGAATCTTGCTGAAATTCATCACTATCCACTCATAACGTGCCCTTTTGCGTGATATATGCCTATATCTCTTTGCTCCCATAATATAATACCAAATTGATGCTTTTGTCAAATATTACCAAAGTAGGTGCTAAGCAAACAAAGTACGCAGAAGGAAATTAGTACGCAAAACGATTTAATGTTTTAAAATATATCCCAAATCATGTCTGTTTTGTGCAATATTTATAAGCCTTGTTTAATTCAAAAGTTCGGCAGTATGTTCTAATAAATGTTAGTTTTTAGATTTGTGACTACTTTTGTGATTAAAAATGAGCTACTCTTTATTTTATCTGTTAACATTTTACGTGATGCTAGTTTGTACATACATTTTTTATATCGTATCCTATTATTTTCGTCAAAAAACTTCTGGCTCGAAAACAAGAGACTTAAATGATTCAAATGATGCTTTATGGTTATTTCAGTAAGAAATTTATATGCATGTACAAAATGCTTTGAAACTGCTCATCTTACTGAACAAAAGCTTGCAGGAGTTATTTGATTAAACTGATCGTGAATTAATTGTCTTATGAGCTGAAATGTAGTCGGTGAGAAGTTCGACTAAACGCTTAGTTCTCATTAAAATCTCCGTTACTAGCTTTCACGGGTAGGCGCACTAGCCTTCCTTTCACTATTCCAAGATATTTATATCCTTTTGTTTCTTCCAAGAGCGCTGCCTTATCAACTTATAGCTCGGTGTTAGTAGCTGACTTTTCGTGATTCACCTCTAACTTTACGCATAAAGAAACTTCTGAATCTCTTTGGCCATAGACTTCATGATATCCTCGTTGGTCGCAAAGATCTTGAGATCATCCACAAACAATAGAAGGTTCGTTATGTGCATTCCTTGATCGGTTGGAACCGCCACTTTTGGGCAATTCATGTTAAGCCGACAGTTCAGCGGGTCCATGCACAAGAGGACTAGCAATAGAAAAACGCTATCATCTTGGAAAATCCCTCGTTATATATATTTTTTCTATTATAGTTTCTTCATTGTTTTTCAGCGCAACTGCCCATCTGGATGTGATGCTTCTCAAGAACGTGCTGATCCACGATGGCATGTTAAGCCTTCCAGTGAACTTAATCAGGTATTCATGATTGACAGATTAGAATGCTTTTTTAATGTTATATTACGTAGTACAGAGTTGGTTTCCTGTGGCTCGCTGCAAATCGCCAGGTTCAAGTGTTTGCTCTCGCGCACCTTAAACCATTCCAACAGTTCCTAATTGGCTGTCTGCAGTTTGAGGCAATATTTAATTACGTAATTACGTCCATACTGTTTGGTTTATTTTACGTTCCAGGGCTTCTTGCATCACACCAGATATTTTTTCTTTACATCTAGATAAGCCTTAGACTCTTGTAATGTATTTTACTCGAAATAGGTGTTTTGTGTCTTGACACGCTTTGTTGATTCCTTCAAGAACGTTTCTGTGAGCACGGACAGCCTGCAATACTGGTAGTCACAGAATTCGCTTGCTTCTTTAGTTCTTGAAGGCTAATCGTACGCACAGACTTCTCGTAATGGAATAACGCGCAAAATATCCTTTTCTCGGCATCCTCCCGAAACGGTCAAGAACCGCCTTCAGCACTTCAGCTGGCGAGCTGCTTCTTGAACCTCGATTCCTCGAATAATAACTTCAACCGTAATCATTAGCAAAATTAAAGAAAAAGTTCCATCAATGCCAACACACATATTTTAATTTTTCGCTTCACGACTATTATTTAGTACTTTATAAACCATACAAATGTTCAGTTGATAAAATATCGGGAATTCATTGTAAACTTCTGCAATGCAATAAAAATTGCATCGGTCGATGCCACTAAATTTTCGCATCTACGAAATATTGTGAAAATTAAGAGTTGAATGCTTATTTTACAAATAATTGATCACTGAAACGGTAAAACATCAAGTCCGAACAAGTTATTTGACATAGAAAAATCATTTGCAAGTGTGCTAATTCTAGGTAATATTGGAAATGTGGAAAGCGACATCATGGTTATTGTTGGGCACAATGTTGACATTTATGCAATTTACAAAAAGTGAGGAATTCATTCCAGTGAGTATCTCCACTAGCTTCCACAGCTAGTCTATTATCAAATACATATCTCTCATGGAGAGAAGTCACTTTTGTAGGAATGTGTTAGCCTTTTGTTTTCAATGAACAGTCGAAATTCCGAGTCTATTTCATTCATGAAAAATGTGAAATCACATTCATGAAAAATGTGCAGTCTGATCACATAAATATTTATCATTTATAGGACGAAGGTGCATTCCGCAGACTCTTTACTAACGGTCATAATTACAAGCGGACTTTCCAGATTTTTCCATTACTTGCATTTACTGAGAGAAATACTAACTCAGGTTATATTTTACTATACAGGTTATAATTCTATAACATTTTCAGTAGGAATGATTCGAATGCTAGTTAGAGAGAACTTCAACAATTATAATGAAGCGGTTCTTTTGATCCTCATTAGAACGGAACGCAAACCCATCTCTACATATATTTTCTTCAAGTGAAAACCATCATTCTGAATATATCAGTAATGAATCTAGAATACAAATTTTAAAGTTCTCCGCTAGCTTCCATAGCTAAAGTCTATTATCAAATAGAACTAAAAATTGACTCTTCAAGTTCACTGACTTTTGAACTGCTCGTAACAGTAAAAGAAATGCATACATCTTTCAAATTGGTAGCAAGTGTTCAATTCAATAAAAACTTTTAGATTTAGAGATTTTTAGTTTACAATCACTACAAAGAAACTCTTCGCACCCAACCAGAATCGACCGAATCTGGAATCTTAGTCGTTGCATGAAAACTAAACAATATAAATACACTCAATAGAATATTACAAGTTTCAGAGTATCGGCCAGCACCTTGCCGCTGGAAATTATGCGCAGGTAAAATATTTGACTGGAACTAGAACACCAGTACGTGTTCCAGATAAGCCCATACTGTATTACTAATGTGCAAGTTCATTTTTTGATTGTGCGATTCAAGTCATGCATTTTACCTTTCTTGCGTTTACTAGTGTCTTGCTCACTAATAAATGGCTAGCGCAATAATTTCTCAACTTTTTCACCCATCAATCTGGCATACAAGTAGGTTGAATCGAAAGAAAAACAATTTGGAATAGTACTGCTATAATTTGGAAATTCTGTACATGTATGAAACGAAATCATCGGAAGTAAAAACAATAACGACCTAAAATAAATTCACAGATATCAGAAAATGATCTACAAACTATGACAAAGATTAAAAAATTATAGAAATTACTGTTACATTTCTAATTAAGATAATCTGTTTACTGATACTGACATGAAAGAACTACTATTCACTTCATAATAATTTATTCAAAATCACTTGAAATACATTTAAATTACAGTGAATCAATCAAGAACTGGTTTACTTGCTTTAGATTAACCCTTCAGCTACACACAATACAGTAGAGGTTTATATACAAAAAACAATGAATAAGGCCCGGCACACGATGCTATATCTTCATGTGATAAAAATCTAAATTACGAGCTTGCATAGAATTATCATTATATCTAGCAACAATCCCTACCGTAATACAACGGTCTGAGTAAGTTCTGATGGGACATTTTTTCTGCTTTCATATATCAACCGCAATTTAAATTAGAACTTCACTCCCAAGTACTACAAAAAGAGATGATATAATGATTACGTCAGCACTGTATAATTGATCTGAAGCACAACTAGTGCGAACTTTTATTACTTCCTAATATACTGAACAACATATTAAGGAGTAATTACATAAATAACATTATATTTTTGGAAAAAAATTTTTAGAAGGCATAAAAATACCCGCTTCATCAACTTCGTGATATATTGCTGATAATAGTCACCATTTACAACTGTTAATTAGAAGGCTCTCAAAGAACTTTTCACAAGGGAATATTTTCAAAAAGTTTAAGAATTATAACAAAGCATCCAGCTCATCCGTTAAATTCTTTAACATGCTACCGATATCGTTCAACACACTGCCATTACTCGCCGACGCCGAGTAACTGCAATTATGTATATATATATATAAATATATATACATATATATATATCAACAAAGTTTGTGTGTACGAAAATCTAAGATAAATAGCTAAGGCTACTTTCAGGATACTATAATTTTGCAGGTAAAATAAGTCTTCCTACCACGTATCGAAGATTTACGATGAGAGCACTGATATTCGGTATGATCAATTCTCAACAGTCACTGATACACTTTTGAATAACTGAACAATATTTTTAATAATACTCGAGAGCGTTTATCATTTTGAATTGAAAAACTGAAGCCCTGACAAAAGCAAAATGAATGCGAAGTTTAACTTTCATGTATCTAAATGAAATATGCCCACCTGCTGAGCTCTGCATCATCGATGAACACACCAGTAGCATCTCGACGAGGTGTATTCGGTTGTGAAAAACTGTCAACATTAGATTGTTCATTTACTTTCCGAACATATGATAAGCTATCACGACTTTTGATTGTACCACAATTATCATTTGCAAACGGGAGATGCTCCGGAACGCGGAAGGAACTATTGATATTATAATTTTTTTCAAAATTACATTCTTTATATCTTTCTGATTCTGCTGCTGCTATAGCTGATTCATGAAAAGCTGATCGCAAAAATCGGATTGATCCTTCACAAGCTAAGGGTGCTGAAAATGAATATCAAAACTAAACTACAACTGCAGAGTCTATGAAATATGAGTAATCAAGCAACAATATTTAATGTAATTTTTTAGGACTTTCACCTCTTTTAAAAAAAAAATTTTTTTGCTTTAGACTATAAGTAAATTTATTTTATTTTTCTATTAAGGAAATTGTATCTTAATAATATTTAGAACAAATTAACTGAATTTACTGGCAATTAATAGAAATATTCATCAGTACTAAAGGATAACAAATACATACACGAACAGTAAGTGTACCTGCTAAAAGCATTACTACTGCAAGGCAAAAACTAAATTTCTAACCAGGAGGAGGTGGATAATCTTCGGGATCAGAAGTGATAGAATTATCAGCAGTACTGAGAATTTTAGCAGGAGGTAATGGCCGTCGACAAAAAGACTGCTTTTGAAAACCTCCATCAGAAAGAATTCGAGATGGTGAATACAGATTCAACTGTACTGAACTTGATTTTTGTTCATTCATATCGCATTCAGTAGTATCATCACATTCGGATATTTCTTGAGAACGATACGGAGCCAATCGATAGTGTTGATAAGCCTGAATGAGGCGATTTCTGCTTCTGAATACACTTTTTGATTATGTAAAAAGAACTGATAGTTGTATCTTAGTGTACCATTTGTTTCTGTGAAGTATGCAAATCTGTAGAGAGTACGTCACAATAATGTGGATGTTGCTTCCAGGTACCATATTGATCGTGTAAACCACCTGAACTAGCTGGGTAGAGAGTAGATGTTGGAGCAGGAGGTGGAGGAGTCTGGTGTAGATGAAAATTATCGTCAACTTGCTAAAAAATCTTTATGAAATAACACTAAAGTAAATTTATTGAAATCTAATTGTGTAAAGTAAAAAAATTGAAAAGTAAGTGAGAAAACCCGAAAATAGACACTAGTAATGGAATTTGGACAGCTATTATGTTAGCAAAGAAAAAAATATGAAAATGCATTTTAAGATAGAAAACCTACTTGGTTATTGAGCTTATTATGATGCACTGCAACACTTACTAACTGTTGCAACTTACAACTCGATTGACTTCTACTAGTTTCATGATCCTATAAATAATCTTCATAATAATGTCATTAAAAATCTTAGAATATTATCCTTCATAATATCGATTCAAAACCAGAGTAAAACTGCAATCCTCTCTCAAAAAATAGTCTCTATGCTTAATTTTAATGCCACTAATCACAATAAGAGATACAACAACATGCACATTTCCTATTATACCATGCTCCACGAGTGAAAATTTGATTTTAACAGAATGAGAAACCTTAATTTTTTTTATTGCAAGTCCGAGACGTTTTAGATGTCCTAATTTTTTGATACCAATATCTCCAAAATCTTCCCATGTTAAACTTTGAACTTCACCAAGTGAAGAGTATCCTTGAACTTCGAATAATTCAATATACTCGGGAAGACCAATCAACAGAAGCCATTCTCTAAAGTAGTGCACAGTAATTTGATGATGATATGCTCCTTTTTCCCGTTTCTACAATAATAAAACAATCAATCGGTCTATTTGTACGAACCTTAGCTCTCCTGATGGAACTGAAGCTGGCCAAGCGTCAGTTACACGCCATTTATGAATTTCAGAAATGAGGAGTTTACGATGACTAGGCTGGGTTATTCCTAGCGCAGTCAAGTCTTCAGGTGTTATTCGGGCAATTGTTGTCAAATCATAACCTTGAGTGAGAAATGTTGACAGATATTCTGAATGTCCTAAACTATCCAACCACAAAGCCAAAATTTCTGCTTCCTATAATTTAGAAATCTCAGTCAAACTTTGTAACAATTAGAAACTGAAGAACCATATGATTTTCAGAGGTACACTAATGACGAACCGGAACTCCTTTTAGCACCATATCGGAAACGGATACTTTACAATTATTATCTGTATTTTGCCCAGGATATTGCTTCCTTCTTGTCTCCTCATATACATTAGACACGTTATTTACAACTGGAGAAGCACTAACACTACCAATGCTTTGGGTTGAAAGGCGTGAAAGTGGGCTGTCCCCTCGTGTAAGTTGACCTGAGCACAAAAAAAATCACATACAATAAAACAATTTCAATCAGAATTTTAAACCTTTATGAATAACTAGAGATGCAATGATCATATTTACTTTAATACATTTCATATTTTCTTCGCAAAATGTATTAAATTATTTTTATAATTATTTCAGAACCATGAAAGTGTAAACTAAGTTTATCAGTCAAGACAAGAAAAACGCGAAACAAGAATTACCAACAGAAGTTGCAAGAAGTGAGGAATTACTACTAACTGCACTAGCAGCACTATCAGTAGTTGAACAACCGTGAGAAGAACCACTCTGTAACATATTAATTATTAATATATTCAAAAAGTCATAAACAACAAACAATGAAGAGTCGCCTTCATTATGAGACTAATAAAACTGCAATTCATAACTTGAAAAATATTTCACTTCTGGCATTCAATCCACATCATTTCATACTCAATATGGTCAAAAAAAATGCACAACTGTAGATATGCAAGAGAAAGAAGAATCATAGGAAAGAGATAATGGTCATTAAGAAATAAACACAAATCTAATATTCATCTGCTTCATAAGAATTTAAAATTATGCAAATTTGATGGAATTGTAAGAATAAACTGTAGAATACTAAGACCTTTTAATTTTCAGAAGCAATATATCCCTTTTATAATGCAGTACTACACCATTCTCTGCTTGTGATTGGATTCCTTTCTGATTAATATCTCAGTGATCAGATTCCATCTAAGATGCTCAGTTATAAAAAAATTCGCTCATACGCTATGTAATAAAATATTTGAAACAAAAGTATTATTTTATTCAACAAACCTAAAGATGATAAAATCTAACGCGTACCTTCATACTTTCAAAGCCAGATGAGCTGTCATGACTTGAACTGGAACCGGTAGAATTCCGATGACATCCACTACAAGATAAATTCTCAGAATTGTGACCAATGACATGAAAGGATCGCTGTTTCAATGAAACAGATGAAGGTGACAAAGTACTGACGTTTCCCGCAGAATCTTCTTCCGTGTTAATGACTGGATGCATTAAGCAATCTGAAACAGTTATATGATGAAAAATTACTTGAAAATTCATTTTTACTGCATTATTACTATTTGTTAGCAAATACACTAACCAGTGCGTCTTCATTACAAAAATCAAAACAAATTTTTAATCTCGTAATTACTAAATCTCATAATGTCGCGTACAAAATAATATAATTTATTTGCAAGGAACACATGTATATGATACCAATTTTTTCTTTTGAGAAATAATACCAGGTATGGTATGGTAATAAGGTCGGTGCAAAAAATATGAAAGCATCGCTATAATAACAATATTAAGGACTTAAACAATGTAATAAAACCTGAAAAGAAGACATGAAAATGAAAAAAATATATGAAGCAATATTTTACCAACATATATAGTAGCCATTTTAGTCGTAGATACAAAGTAATCAAGTTGTAATCTGACTAAAAAATAGAACTAATATAATTTTCCGTCTGTAAAATATAATTTCATCAAATATTTTTTCTTTAACGCTTGCGGAACATAAATGCAAATGAGTGGTGGATGAAAAAATATGATATTTAATTAGTTCTTCGACATGTAACTACAAAAAAGACGAAAGGTGATAAACACTTCCTTTCAAAATCAATATTAACTAGTTAATCCGTTTTATTGCTTAACCCAAATATGATTCTCAAATCTCTTACTCATTTATCACTCCTAAATCTTTAAGAATACATAGCTTGACAAGTTAGTAATGTTACACTTTTCAATTTGTAACCGTAACTGCTAACTTGGTTTTTTATAGCGAAATTAGATTTACACCGGCAGTGAAATTAATAACTACAAATTGCTATTAGAGAGCAAAAAATTTATAATAAGCTAAAATTATGGCAACATAATTTAGTGAAATTATGATTCCTAAGTACGAACTGAATGAAGATAAAGTATTGGAGAGTATATAGCGAAAGAATAACATCATTGCAAAATGGAATTTATAGAACAATGCATGAATCGGATTTAACGAAATTAGATTTGGTGAAATAAAAAAGCATCAGGATCCTGTAATAAAAAGTACGAATTCAGTTTTTTGTCGATATCGCTTAATCATAAGTTAAGTAATAATAAAAGGAAGTGATTTCAAAACGAGAATATCACTTCAGTCACTGATTATTCAGTTAGAGATAATCTATAAAAAAACCTTAAGCATTAACAGAAAGTATAAAGAGATAAGAAGGAATTATTGAAAAAATGCTCCAAAAATTAATTGCCAAAATGTTTTTTTTTTTGGAACAAAGACTGAAATAAGTAAAATGACTGCTGTCAAAAACGTTAAACATCTTATACATATTTTTAAAACCAAATTAACTAATCAATCGATCAAATAAATTCTCATTTTCGAAATAAATCATGAAATTAGATATCCATCAATTGCAAGATTAACCGAGAACAAGTAAATATGTCACTATCTGTTTTAAAAAGCAACCCAATATCATTTCCAAATTTGTGCACTTTTATGAAGACAAATGCGACCAAAGAATAATAATAAATCTGTAAACGATAACAGAATAGTAGAAAACTTTTAGCAATCAAAAAATAATCATTACTCTACGATAAATATAGAGAAGAATATATAGCTGTTTTAGGAACAATTCTTCTCTATTACTAGATATTAATTTTTTAGATAAATTAGAACTCATAAATTTAATGCTCAAAGTTCTTTTTGACCTTTTTCAAAAAAGAATGAAAGATATCTTAAAGATTAATAAGTCACAAATGGTTCGTGCTGACACTTTTTCATCACGAACTTTTGAAGCAGCATTGTGTTGAGAAAAGATTGCAGAATGAATAATTTGTATGAATAAAAATAATAAAAACCGACACAAAACTGTTTTATAATAGAATAGTAGCGTTTCTTCTCAAATTATACGATAATTTTATTCAACAACAAATCATCTAGAAAATAATACACAAATATGATAAACAGTCTACAATACTGGACATATATGAAAGTAGAAAAGCAATATATGATAATGTGATTTGTTTTCATAGCTTTTCATTATTGAACAGGACAGTGCATTGGAAGCACTTTATTCAACACAAGTGGGAGTGTTTTTGATAATGCATAGAACGATACAAAAGTCTCCGTCTTCAACCTTGTAGAACCTAGCTCTTGTTGTGATAACAGAATGCACTGATTAAAAAAATTATTATTCGATTAACAAGTTTAAAATCATTTGCATTAAAGTATTGCACTTATAACTTCTGATGACAAAAGAATGTTTGATAAGATCAAAGAAGCAGATAGGTAACATGCAAATGAGTTTGGAATATAACCAAGTCCATAATACTATGATCTCGATATTTATTTTAAAAATGAAATATTAAATTTTATTTGGAATAGAACAGAACTAAGTTGTTTCACGTTGCAAGAAAAAAAAATTGAAGTAAAAAAGGAAACAATTACTTGTCTAAAGCCAACAGAAAGAATTAAACTGAAATCATTCAATGTGACAAACACCTGCACATATTATAAAAGTAACAGAATGAATCCTCGAAGCATAAAGTTCTCCTTACCATTGCAACAACAAACGATGCTGCTTTCTGATTTTGCTCTTAATAGTGATCACGAAATCATCAGTAGAAATTCATACCATCGTACTTCCTAACACTTTCATAAATCGTGATAGCTGGTCAAAGATCACAAGCAAGCATAAGTTACTACTAAATGAATAGAAAAATTATATAAATACTTGAACGGTGCGATAGATCCCATGGTTAATTTTTTTGCTCGCAGTAGATGACAGAAAGCTGAGATTTACAATAATAGGATAGAATTTTGCCAGCTCATTTTCACCATCTCTCTGATAAGCATTTCAACCAATCCAACCAAGAGACTTTTCAAGCAGAAACAATAATACATTAATTCTGGAATGACTATCCACGAATAAAACTGAGCGAGCTCAAAAGGATTAGTCAAAAATCCTGATATGAAATTAATGATCTTAAATAATCGTAATCAAAAACAGAACAAACAAGTTAATCCACTCATGCTTATTTGGAGCAACAACTACCACATTTTTCGAGAAAATATTACGAAAAAAAACTTAATGATTGACTTTATTAGTCGTTAGCTTATACTTCATTGATGTAGAAAATTGATGTATCATAACAAAAACGACTAGTTATATTTAGAGCATGTCTAATGAACAATGAAAATATTGAAGCATAAGTAGAATGAAGAAAATTTTTGGCATACAACATTACGGAAGGAAAAACAGAAACACATACGTAAGCACAAAACAACAAACTATGGTGGTTTTTTGTAATTACGTCAAGGAAGAATGATGACAGATTCTATTATTTAGCATAATCAATAACTAGTAGATACAAAAGTTGAAAGCACAGAAGACGAAATGAATGAAGAACACAGAAAATGATATGGGAATGAAATGAGCACCACCTAAATCTAAGGCTGAAGTAATTGCAGCGGTAGTATATAATAAAATGAACCAAAGGAAAACAAACTTTGAAGAATTGGTCCAGAAGGAAATGTCTGAGTGAATAAATAGGTGGTCGAGAGAATGAATGAATAAATGGATGGATGAATGAATGAATAATGTTGGGATGGTTGGCATATGTTGCGAAGAATCATAACGGGACTAGGACCACTTGCTTCATTGATTCACCAAAACTGCTCATGCTGCTTGAAACGCAAAGTAAGCAAGCAAATAAGTAAGCGTGTAAGTAAAAGAAGAAGTCAGAGCAGTATTTTTACATTCATCTAATCTTTACTGCCTCTTTCTTGTTATCCACTTTGTATCTATGAATATATGAGCAAGTAGCAAATCCGAGCGGCCATGAGAATGAAATCTTACATCTGTGCCATTAGCGCCTTAACCCAACAAGTAACCATTATTTATTCATCTTTCTCACCTAGCATCTTCATCCCACACTTCTTTTCATCTTGGAAATTGCATAAAACGAATGCAACAGCTGCTGTCACCACAATAAACAACGATAATTGCCACTTACGGTGCACACTTATTCACGCTTTAACTCCTTCCTAATCAGCTGTCACTAAAAGACACATTAACAAAAACTGTTCTTCCCATTAAAATACCATGCCTTAATCTTTCTCATCTGCTATATTTATTCCTTCACATTCTATAAGAGTTACTAGTCCATGAAATTCAAGATTGCGGCTATCATAACTGATTTTGTTAGCTCTATAAAAGCAAAAAAATGATGAGGCAAAAATATGAAAAACTAAAATATGCTCCGATTCGCTAGCAACGAATTAAAAATACAGTAATACTGTCCATTTCAAATAAAAATGACTACATCATCAAATCTCTCCGAAACTTATCTAAATCATCTGAAAAAAACATACGATTTCTCAGACGCCGAAAAAATGTAAGCTAGAAACAATATACTACTTGAAAAATTATTTTCATCTATGATTTACATCAGGAATTATGATAAATCAAACTTGAGGCATAATTTAACAATTAGCATTAAATATGTTAAATGCTACGATTTTTACAACCATCTGCGATAAATAAAAACCTTAGATCCATCAACAATTCAGTATTTTAGTCCTAACATTTTGTTTCATAAATTTTCAACGAAGAAATTTGTCGTTCACAGATTTCAATCAGCTGTGGGCAGAACAAAAAATTTTTAACATCTGGCAGTTTTTTAATGAGAAACTGTAATTTGTTCACAACAAAGTGATAAAAATATTTCATTCAGTTCTAACATGTCTTATTACTCTCCGGCATCTATACTGTTCATTATTTATATTCAACTACTGAATTTCAGTCTTGAAAAGGCCGATTATTACATACCCTTTTTGCCACGTCTGAATGTATGATCGGAATGTAAATCGCCTCTGGAGCATAAAGTTGAAGATACTGTTAACTCTGACAGACTGGTGGATGGTAGATATAAACCATTTGAATTTCTGTCTGCAATGAGTTTATGGGGTCAAAGGTTAAATGATATTATTCTTGTGTTAAAAAATTTCATTTCATATAAATCTTTTGAGTGTAGTAAAAGCAGTGACAATAACAAATTTCTATATATGGATTTCAAAAAACGTTTCTTATGCGACAAGAAAAGCAAACACAAGAATAATTCAGCTTACGAGGGAGAGAAGGAGGCCATATTACAGTTTCTTAAAAACATGATAACAATTTTTTGATATCACTAACTTTACAACAACAATACACAGAGTTTTACCACAAAAATTTACAGATTTATAAATTTAATTATTTTAACTGCTTTTTATATCATATGATACCTGCACGCAAATACTTATCTACCATTAATATATAATGCACATTCGCTTGATGTACTTCAGTATGATATTTTTTTAAGTCTACTATTCTAGAACAATGCCCATTTGTTATTTATCATAATACCAGCAAAGATACTGACGATCAGTTCCTGCATCCCTTTCCATTATCTCAATACCAACAAGAAAATAAAAGAATGCAAAACTGATTTCCATAGATTTAAAATGATAGTTAACAAAGTAGACAATAAGTCAGATTCCAAACAAAATTCTGGTATTTCTATCATCAGTGTTGTATTCTGTGTGATGCGGTATGAGTCAATAAAAAAATAAACCAAAAGCGATTTCTACAAATAAAAGTCGTCAAAGTTATCAACTGCTGTCGATTTATCTAAAAAAATGTAAGTATCAATGGCAAAAGTCAACAAAATGATGGGAGAGCAAAGAATTCAGCAAACACTTCAATGATAACAGCAATAGTTTCCTCACAGCAAACACTGCTTCAACCACTAGTGAACAGCATATCATATTTCATGTACAGTTATTTTGCAATTTGACAAACTGACCATCTTCAAAGAAATGACATCAAAGATTTCTGACATAAGGCTGTATGAAATAATGCTGTACTACATATAGATGTCTCTTCACATTATATACAGAGAATATGTAAAAAAGCATAAATAAAAAATGAAAAAATAATTTTCCGGAAAATAATGAAATTACATAAGTCTCCCAAGTCAAAAAATGCTTGCAATAACTTACGTAGATAAAAGGCTTCAGTTTCTCGTAAGCTACCACTTCTGCGCTCTCGAGGTAAATAGCGCACTATATGATGCAAATCTCCTTTAACCATAGCCTTACTGATATTTTCCTCGTATGCACCACACTTCTGAATACCAAGATCAGGTACTATAGGAACTGATACCTGAATAATAACTCTTCATATTTTGTAATCAAATATGAAAAATAAGAAAACTGACTCATATTTTCAATCATTACATACTTGGTTTTTTCGTTTCAATGCAATTCATTTTTTCAAAAATTTGTTATGCATAAAAATACTGATCAGTCATAAATTTACTTTTTTGATTTGTCGCGGTAGCTGGTGCATTGTAGCAGAGCCTGAACGTTGAACCATACGCGATGGCATTGCAGTAACTTCGAAAAATTAGTCTCATAAACTGTAATGCAATATAACTGCAACACTGATAATTAGGTACATTTCTGCTGAACAAGAAATCACGTTCGTCGTAGCTATATAAAATGTAACACAATTCCTTTCATTAGAAAATTGAAATTACATGTATTACTTCTATAAAGAGCTAGATGAATCTGTTTTTATTTGTTGACTCTCTTGGTAAACTTTAGGAAAATTACACATAAAGTTCCTTAACAAATCAGCAGTTCTGTTTCCATGAATAAGCACATGTTCGAAAAGACAATATTAATGTATCAAGTCCACTAAGAAATGATTCGTCATCTTATTAAAATAAATTTTCTCTTCATTAATACTAAATCTAAATTTCTTCAAAAATTGATGCAGAAAGAAAATAAGCAAAATTTTATGAAGCATTAATAATCATTTCAAATTACTTTTGCCGTTAAAACTTACGCAGTCCACTCAAATTATCAGCCTACAGACTAATTTTTGGCTTGTTTTGCTTCCTAGTGATTTGAAAAGACGTTAAAACTTATAGGTTTGCTGAAGAGAGTTTGATGAAACTTTCAAATAACTTAAAATAATGATGGTTATTTTCTTGAAGACTGGAATGGAAAATTGAATTGACGGTCAACTGTAATTTCGATCTGAAAAGTATCGAGCGTAAGCTTATATACACGAATTCCGGTACTTTCCGAAATTGCATTTGACTCTCAATTTCAGCTCACATAATTCCTTATTTTAAATATGGCGAACAAACTGAGCACTCATTGCTGATTAAAAATATAGAAAGGCGTTGAATATGATATGTAATACTATAGTATTTATCTTCTCCAAATTCATAACTTCGTTATGAACAAAAGTAGTAGACATTTCCCTCCTGTATTTCGATTTATTTGAATAGCATCCAAATATGCAACAGATACACAAAGAAGCGACAATTGAAATTAATTGATACATCAGAAAAAGTGACTAGAAGCTACAATCATAAGCAACCAATGCCTTCTAGTCTCACCGGGGAAATTTTAGAGCCGAAAATCCATAGGCTCTGGCAACTGAACTGAGCTAATATTGAAAATAAATTAGAAGTGAGGTAATGTCTACATGTGTATCTGCATAGGGAAAAGAAAAACTATAATATTATTGAATAGGCTTTCAAAATAGTAGCAGTAGTGCAAATGAAAATGTAAAGTGCTTCAATATTCTAAGTTCTAAGTCTGAAAAAAGCAGAAATTTTCACACGGAGTAAAACATCTTAGATGAGAACTCGTTATAAGCAGAAAAATCGTTTTTCGATCAATTTATAACAATTTGTTATTGTTTTCATACACAACATGTCACCAACAATTAGAGGTACAGGTCAATACTGCTAATAACGCTGAAAACAGTTTGAATGGCTTAGGAAATTTGATTACAAAATCAACATGTTTAGAAGAGCTTGAGAAGCGAGCTTATGGCACGTAATACTGTATAATTGCTTAAAAACCTGATCATCCCTGACACAGTGAATTTTGGCGAATCTTATATTTTAAACATATGTAATGAAAATTAGCGACGATACATAATGTTCACGATATCCATCGTGTTGTAAGTTATAATGTATTCAGGATCCTCATTACTCCCAACTGATTTTCAGCTTTTATTTGCGTCCTTATACTATTTCTTGAGCAACTCCTACACATATTGATAACAAATTATTCATATCAGAATCAAAAATATACATAAAAACGACCTTATTCGAATTCTAAAAAACCATTCATAATGAATGGAAATTAGATCCAATCACTTTTTATTAAAAAGCATTGATACAAATAAAGTACTGCTTTAAACTTTTCTGGCAGTTCCAAATCATAACTGAACTAACAATCACATAATTAGAGCTGCTTGAATTTGAACTCGCCATCAGTGACCCTGAATACTTCAAATTTCGGTTATAATTGATTGAGTGGTGCTCAGCAATGATTCAAATATTTATAAAGATGGCTTCATTTGATTAAATATCAAACTGAATATAAGTGTGCAATCTTCAAAACTACCTTTTGCGACACTACAGGTTAAGTAAAAAGCAATAACTTTGTATTCAATCTTCAAAAAATGAACATCGTAGAGAACATTTTCATTCATTTGATGAAGTTCTCCTTTTCGACAAAAATATATTTTCAAAGATATGAAAATAAAACTGGAATTTCCACATCCAAGCGAAGCGATTCATTTTGCTAGCAAATGATTAATATCAAATATATAGCAATTATTGTCTTCTCCCAAAACAACTTCCCAAGCTCTCTACAGTGCAAGAAATTATTATTCCAAAAGCATAAGGAAAATCATTAATATTCAGTTTTTATATGCTGAATCGAATGAAATAGTATAGTATTCAATATCGAATATAAATTGAAAGGGAGACAGAATGGAAACACCATCACTTTTATTAATTTTTTGTTGTTGAGAATAACAAGAAAATACTGAGCTACTATCGATGGTTTCAGTAGCAGATGCTTCAGTAATGGTAAGATGCCGAATATCTGCAATATTTATTTCTTCATTGACCATCTATTTAAAAGTTTTTATGATAAAATATCTGGAAATTACTGACGAGAAAGAGTGATGCATCAAAAAAACAAAACTGATTTAACTTTTCCTGAGGATGAAATAAGATGATAACTTGTAGCCAATTAATGTCATTTACGGAAAAAAATAAATAGCCAACACTAAATATGAAAAGTGTGGTTCTTTAATAAAAACATTCTTTGAAAGTTATTATTTTAATCATATAGATATGACTTCATAACTTTCAAAGATTTTTGAAAAATATATCAAATTAATCTTGCTGATGCTATTACAATTAAAAGATTCATAGATGTTAACGTTTTTCTTAAATATTTGAAATGCGCCATTGTGAGGAAAGAAAAAACAAGTAGAGATCTTAAACTACTAGAATAAAAATGCTGAAATTCATCACTGATAACACCAATCAAAAAAATAACTTTAATATTGAGTCACTTTTTGAAAAATTCGATATATAATTCATATTTAATTTTATAAATTATACTTTTACATTAATTAAGATTTGCAGTCGAGGATATCTCATAGCTGCCAAAAGCGTATCAACCACTTTTCGTGCATACTTAGAATAATGCACGTAGAAAATAAAATAACAGTTACAGTGAAAGATTTGCATTTATTATCATTTTTAATTTTTATTTCAAACACATAGTCCAGATACGAGAATCTTCAATATTGTATCTCATCCTATTAAAACTAAATTCTCTTAATTTAATTTGGATAGGATATGTTAGATGGAAATACACATCTCAAATATAAATGAAAACAGATATATAGTATATATAAGCCAAAAGCTTTTATACTCACTTGCAATGACAATGAAAAAAGAGAGAAGACTGACTTATTTTCAGTAAATAAATTGTACATTTAATGAAGGCCAAAGCTCTGTAAGTCTAAGTATTTACTTAATTAACTATAAATACAGAAAGAATATTTTTTTAGTGCATATTGCTTTATATTTAAATTGTGTGTAGATTTCATTTTATCAGCTATTTGAAATAATTTTGCCGTGCAATCGAGTATAACATATATAAATAAAACAGCATACACTGTAGACAATAAAGAAATGTGTTGTGTGCAGTGAGAGGACAGGTGTTGCTTGGTCACATTGCATTTGAAAAGTCCTCTTTAAAACATTTTTCTATTGGCACTCTTTTTATTGTCAGTATTTGAGACATATCAATCAATCATTCAGTTATCACAAGGATCAACTTCTTGAGCCAATCTGCTTGATAGTTAAGAACAATTTCAGTATTCTGTTATACAAATTTGCTATTTTTTATTAATATATATCCATTACACACCACTGTAATACCACCAATTAATCTTATCAAAAAGCAGTAATGAAAATTCCTATTGACTGCATTAGCTACTTATCCAGGCAGCACCATCAGCTCCACTAATAATTAACCATTCAATTACAGCTACAGTCAACAGAAGTGTTCACAGTCCTTCAATGATTCTCTTCAGTCTCTCTCTATTTCTCACCTATTAAATAAACCTTATCATATAACCCAACCACCACATACCAGCAGTCTGCAGCTGCAACTATGACGCGCTGAACTCCCACCAAACACCTTCAAATCTCTCAATTTCACTCTGATAAAGACCACTCTGCCTGCGTGACAGTTGCCAACCGACTCTTATTTATTTACTAACACAGTCACCTCAACTCGTACAGACAGCCATACGCACTACAGCAAGCAAACAATCCATATTTTGCACAGAACAAATGTTGATGTAAGGATGCGTTGAAGAAAAGCAGCGCCATATCAATTTTGCAAAGTCATGCTGGACTTTGCAAAATTAGTATTCATTCAGCCCTATTACTTCCTACTGTTCTTACTTGTGCTTTAAGTACACCTTTTTCGGTGTAATCTATTGATCACTTACCCATCATTTGGATTTTGGATGTGAACTATTCACTATACTTATCATTTTCATCTACTTCAGATTACAAAAATTTTGATTTTTTAATAAACAGTCTTTATCCACTTTTATTCTAGGAGGAAATTTTTATAAAATACAATCATTTCTCGCAAGCAAGATGCGATACAGTTCCAAATGAAAAAATCGCCAGAACAATAATGGCGGGTATGGCACAAGCAATACATTATAATTACTTTTCATTTTCAGTACACCATCACTGTTTTGTTCTTAATAATGATCTCGAAAGTGATAATTTAGCGGTGAAATGTAACTATTATTTAAGTGACTGCTCGGCCAATCATAACATTCTTTTTATTGGGACATATAAGCATATAGCTAAAAGAATTAGTGAGACAGATAGTAAGCAGCAATTGTTTTTGAAATTTAAAGAAGACGAACTAGAAAAACAACCCTCACCATATGAAAGAACTGTAGACCAGTATAATATTTTTTAAAGGCGTCTGAATATAGTCAGTTAATAATTTGATTTGTAAGATCAT